AAGGGGAGAGACTCTTACCCTGCTTAACAACATCCCTGCCTCCAGCCCTTTATGGCCAGTTCAAATACTAAAATATTGGTTGAAAAATGCCAAGAACATGTAACCTTTCTGCTGAACTCCTCTTCAGCTCAAGTCTCATCTGGCCTGCAATGAGGCCACTAAACGTTGTGTGCCTTTTTAAATACACATCTGAAATCTTTGCATTCCATAGAGGAAACTACATAAGTTTAATAGATGCAGCCAAGAATAGCATTGATTTCCACTGCTTAAAACAGAGAAACACTATTGCATGCTTTTGACAAGAATGCGATATGCTGCTTAACATGCCTAGGTACAGAAGTTGCAATTTTTCACAATGCAACAGTCACATACAAATACATAAAACACTTCACTATGCAGAATTCCCTTTGCTTCAAGGTCTGTCCTTTTTTTTTAAAAAAAAAAAAGGAAATAAAAAAGAGAAAATGAAAATGCATACTTTTGACCAGCATGTAGACCTTTGGCATGAAAACAGCTGATAAAGCTAAGGGCATTTGCCATTATATGGTAAGCCTTCTGTAAGGGACTTTGTCTTGCTTTACTGACAGAACAACCTGAACTTAGGGGATGTTTATCATCCCTGTATACCATTAGCTTTCCAAATACCTCGTGGTAAAATCTGGCAGTAAATCTAGCACTTTATACAGCAAGACCGTCCAACTGCACTACTGCGTTTCCCCCATCCCAGCTGAGGCGGATACTTCTGGTCAAATTCCTTGCAGCAATGAGGTCCTGCACCTCCGACTAACTCATACAGCTTGCAAAGCTCTTTTGGGGCCAGCAGGATGTGTCTTTCTGAAACAGGATGTGTCTTTCTGCGGCACTGGGCCCTCAGTGGTCCAACTCCTAGCATCAAAATGAGTTCATAACACAAGTCCTGCCCTTCTAGTACTGATGATTTGTAGTGCTTTTGAAAACTGCTTCCCCAAGCATGATTTTTGTGGTAAGTAAGCATCACATTAATGAAATCCTGCTAGTCAGTCATTTCTGATGGTGATACTATTTTAACTGAGCTGGAACAAACCCTACAAACCGAAAGGGCAGTTATAAGATTTTCTTCTTAAACAATAAATGCAGTTACAACAAACCATCTTAAACTTTGGTTTGAATTTGGCTTTGTTTAATTTGAGAAACGTCTAACGTTTTTGCACACCCCTGCTTTTCTACCTTTGAACTGCATTTTACCCTAAATATTAGAAAAATTTTCAATTTTGATGATGCTTTCTACTGCTAAGTGTTGAAGCGATACTACAATCTTTGCAGAGCCCGATTAGATCATGGAGTATCTGGTTACCCAGTGATATCCCAGGGCATCAGATCTGCCTACCGAATTTTAATGATAAAACAAATGGTTAGAGCAGTGGCTTGTGTCTCAACAGCATTACAGGAAAAATCAATGGGATACATTAAAACGTTCTGCTCAGTGTAACCTGCACTAATCTAGAAATTAAAGTAAATCCAGTCTTGTTTAAAACAAGGCATAGTTATTGATATTGCCAAGGGATGGATCTTGCAAACCCTCACTGTGTGAATCCTTCATCCATTGAAGTCTCTTTGATTTCAGTAGGATTTTATGTCAGAATAAGGATATATGTATAAACATTATTAACCAATTGCAGCAGTGGGCCCAGGATGGTAGTAAGATTAATTAGACCTTTTATCCTTACTCACTAAATTTGCAGAAGAGGAAGTTAAACTTGATTACCACAGCCAATATGCAACACGGTGCCAACTGCAATTTTAAACTAATGAAGTCCAGAGAAGCAGCACAGTTCTTACAGCAGAAAACTAAGCTGAACACCTTGTCAGCAGATAGTTTTTAGCTATTGGTAATGCAAAACACAGAGAGAAGAGAGTGGGAGAGGGGGGAACACAGCATGGTTGAAAGCCATTGAACATTACAAGCAGGACAGTTTAGAAAAATAATTTTTCATTATTAAGGTCTTGAAGGGCAAAACAGCAGGCCACAGGCAATCTGGAGAGCATCAGAGAGAATTTTTTTCTGCAGACGCTCCTTCAAGTAGACAAGGTGCTCAGTAGGATCTGCCATGAATAAGGAAGAACTGGCTAGGGATGTGAAGGTCAATGGCAGCCTTAGCTAGAGTCACCATAAGGTGACAGAGTTAAAGATCCTAGGGAAAGTGAGGAAGGCAAGTAGCAGAATAAAGAGCCTGGACTTCAGGCAAGCAGTCTTAGCTTGTTCAGGAAATCAGTAAGCAGTATCCTGTGGGAAAATTACCTAAAGTGCAAAGGCAGTTAGGGAAAATGGCCCATCTCCCCCAGCGTACAAAGAAAACACGGAGTTAAGGCAGGAGGCAAGTTTGGCTGAATGGAGAACTTCTGACTGAGCTCAAACACAAAAAGGCAACGTACAAAAGGCGGAAGCAGGGACAGGCTACCTGGAAAATTAGAGGAGCATTGCCCCGGCATGCAGGGAGGGAGTCAGAAGTCCAAAATTTGACTGGAGTTGAAACTGGCAAGGGATGGGAAAAGCAACAAAAAGAGCTTCTGCAGATATGTCAGCAGCAAAATGAAGCAAGGAAAATGCTGACCCACTGCTGAATAGGGCAGGAGACCACATAATACAGGACAAGGAAATGATCAAAGTACTCAATGCCTTCCTTGCCTTAATCTTTATTGGCCAGGTCTGCTCTCAAGCACCCTAGTCATCTGCACCTCTTCCTGACTGCCACTTCTCACTACTAAAGGGTGACTTGAGTTTAGGGCTACTTATGTAGATTATAAACAAGTAGATGGAACCAGAAAGGATTCATCTGGACATGCAGAAGGAGCAGGCCAACTTCTCTGTGAGGCTGCCTTGTCTCATCCTTGATTGGTCATCATGACTGAAGGAGGTCATCCCTGTTTGGAAAAAGGCAAAAGTTACATCCATCTTCAAAATAGGAAAGCAGGATGATCCAGGGAACTACAGTCTATCAGAATCATTTCAATCCCAGGGAAGATTACAGCACAAGTCCTCAGAGAAGCCATCTCCACTTTATAAAGGACAAAAAGGTCACTGCAAACAGCCAACATGGATTTAGCAAGGGCAAATCATGCCTCACCAACTTGACTGCCATCTAGGACAAAATGACTGATTTGGAGGAGAGTTGTTATTTTTGTTTCCCTTTACTTCAGCAAGGCTTTTGACACAGACTCTCTTAACATCCTTATAAGCTAACTGGGGCGATAGGGACTAGACCAAGTGCACTATAAGTTGTGTGAAAAACTGCCAGAGGATCATCAGGCTCAAAGTCTAACAGTCTAACTGGCAGTGATTACAAGTGACTCCTTGGGGATCAATCATGGGGCGAATTCTGTTTAACATCTTTATCAGTGACACACGTAATGGGATGGGGAGCCCTCTCGGCAAGTTTGCAGATGACACCAAGTTGGGAGAGAGAATAATACTCCGAAAGAAGAGCTGCTATTCAAAGAAACTTCAACACAGAGGAGGAGCTGGCTGACCTGAACCTTAAAAGGTTCAGAGAAGCCTTGGACCTGGGACAGAACAACCCCATTCAACAGCACAGGCTAGGGATCAACTGGCTGGAAAGCAGCTCAAGCAGCTCTACAGAAAAAGACCTGGAAGTCCTAATGCTCTAGTTAGGCACAAGCCAACAGTGTGCCCTTGCAGTAATGAAGGCAAAACATACAGCTCTGCATTACTGAGAGTGAAGCAGGCAGGTAAAGGTAAACAATTAGTCTATTGTATTCAGCATCTGTGAGGCTGCATCTGGAGTACTGCATCTAGCTTTTGGTTCTTCAGGGCCAAGGAAATACTGACAAACTGTAGTGAGCCCAGTAGAGAGCCCCCAAGATGCATACAGCTAGAGCACATCATGTGCAAAGAGAGCCTGAGAGAATGGGGTTTATTTGGCCTGGAGAAGAGAAGGCAAAGGGGGCTCCAGCTGCAGTCTTCAACTGCCTAGGGGATGGTCACTGAGAAGAGTTGGGCTCCATCTTCTCTGAGGTGCACAGACATAGCACAGGAGACAATAGTCACAAGCTGCAACAAGGGAAATTCCACTTGAACACAAGCGAAAAAAAAACATTCTTCCCCACAAGAGCAGTTAAGCATGGGAACAGGGGTCCAGAGGGGCTGGAGTCTGTATCCCTGATTCTCAAACCTCAGTTGGACAGCCCGATTTAACTTTGAGCTGGCTTCTGCTTTGAGCAGAGGCTTGGACCAGATGACTTCCAGAGCTCCTTTCCAACCTAAATTATTCTTTCTTTGCTCATCAATCCCCACCACCCTGCCCCAGGAAACAAAAGGTTTGTTTGTCTCTCAGCCTTAGAAGCAATTACCAAGATACACCAAAAGTGTTTGCACCGTGCATGAGCCAAATATTAAAGTGGTCAATTTCAACCACTGATACATTAAATTTTGATGAACTTAGATGTAGCCAAACACTATGTAGACATTCAGGAGTAAAACGTGTAGTATCGCCTAGACCGCAAGGAAAAGAGCTGCTAGTACTTTTACTGGG